TTGCTTTCTGCATGATTCACTTTAGCTATGGGGCTAGTACCAGCTGCCTTCCATAATTAACGTACCACACAGTCTGTCAGTTTTCCCCATTGCTCGTAGTAGTTCCTCAGACTTTCTTCTGTGGTTTCAAAACTTAAGCCACCAATAAAGAGCTTACGAAACTGTTCCTTTTCTCTCTGCAAAGGAAAATACCATTTCAATTTTTATTTACATTTTCTCTTTGTATGCAGGAAATTAAATTCTTAAATATGAGGTGACCTGCTGGCAGAGTACCTTTTTCCTCTCCAAAGGAACAGTTTCTAAAGTTTTCTGGGGGGGAAAAAAGAAACTTACATCAAATTTAAACCATATGTTAAACTGCATATTAGTTGTGTTACACCAAAAAACTCAGCTGAACTACACAAGTTTCAAAATGACTAATACTTATATCTAAATTTACTTGACATTAAATTATCTTAAGCAAATTTAGTATATTTTAAAGCTTTCTAGGAGAAACACTGATTCGATGGTCACTGAAAAGCTATTAAAAGGATTCTTAACAAAATTACTTAAATATATATCCTAAACACACATGTTTACTCAATTTATGCATCATTTGTCAATACAAAAAACCCTTGGTACCATATATGAAGTTTTACCATTTATTCCATTCTTTGGTATCTCAAATGACATTGTTACTTAACTGCTCCCTCTGGTGGCAGTTCTAAGTAGCTCAACCAACCCCCCCAAAAAACAAGCTGTTTCTCCATATAACAATTTTCAATTACAAAAAAATCAACATTAACATATATAACTTTAATGTATCTTATACGCAATTTTTATAATATGTAAAACGGGTATCTTAAGCCTGAAAATATTAATGCACCCAGTTTTTGTGGAGCAGGCATTTATATAGTTTATGCAATTGTATAGTCTAAGCTAACAATCACATGTACAGTAATACACAATTATCTACAGGTATAATAATGCACATTTTAAAGCATAAAGTTTCATACCATCAACACTTCCTCTAATTCATTAAACTAAGCTTAGTGAACTTAGTGGCTAACTGGGCAGATCACACAACATAAAACCACTGTCTTCTACAAATCAAAAGTATTTCGGTAAATATCTTTAATTATGGGCAAACAAGCAAGCAAATATTTTACGTTTAATCTTCCTTTATTTTTGACAGTTAAGAATGGGACCTCAAACTTGGCTTACAGATAACTAGGCTAACAAGTCACTGATCACACCCAGACCAACTGCTTTGGGTTTAAATTACATTAAAAAAATTTTGCTTCTAACAAGTAGCATCACTTCTCTCAATACAGTTCTATGGAGGTTCTCCTCTCTTTAGTCTCCTAAATGCTCAAAAATCAAATTAAAAGCCAATTCGAACTTTTTGCCAGTATAGTCAAACGTCCAAGGTTCTGAAAATTTTAAAAATTTCCTGAAATTTTCAAATTAGTTGGCAAAAGTATTTTTTTAATTAATTGTATTCTAATCGTTCAGTAAGGAGTCAAGCTACAAATATAAAGCATATCTACAATTCTTACAAGTCACTAACAAAAAGCAAAAACTCTTACTTACCTCACAGTTTTTTCCAAACTTACCCGATGTCCACTATCGATTATAAAAAAAGTTATTTTATAAATGTTCTTAGGGTCAAAGAAAGCAACCAAGTAGACCCCCTTCGTTTAAAACCACGTTATACTTATCAACATAATCAAAATTGCAAACAAATGAGAATAATAAGTTCAAATACATTGTGGCTCAAACCTAAAACACTCCGAACATAGTTATTAATACACATTGAATTAAGGACCGAGCCAGACTTTTACCGCAATAAAACATTGGCCTTATTGCACTTTGTAATTTCTGACTTGTAAGTATAGTAATCTTAAACTTTCCAGTAAAAATACTATCTAAAAACGAAAAACTTCCACAATTCAACTAGAATCCTTGAGGACAATAAACAACTAAATAGCCCTCCCCCCGAATAATCTCGCTCACTGCCATGCTCAGTAGCGAGGCCGCCACGTTTTTGTTTTTTTTCCTTAAGAATTTCCTACAATTCCACTGCTTTCTGAATCAAGGCAGCCCCAAGTAAAACCGCTTCTCCAAGTAAGAAGGGCTGGAAAGCAGGAGCTTTCTTTGTCATGCGGCCCGACGCCCTAGGCTGCGATACCTTCTCTTAGCCGCCGCCAAGAAGCCCTGCAGAGCCGCCCTGCCCCCCGCCCGCTCTTCTGTGTGGCTTCGGTACGCAATGGCGCCATTTCATCGAGGGGAAGGCAGAGCCTGCAATGAGGTGCGCAGGACGCTAAAGATCCAAGCTCACAAAACACTCCAAATCCACCTCGAAACGAGATGAAAACAGCCCGAGAAAAAAGAAAAATAGTTAACCACTTCTATACTTCCACAAAGAAATGAAACTTGCAGAATTGAGAGAGTTAAGGCACAAACGCTGTGAAGGAGGAGAGACGGGAAAATGGCGGCCGCCAAATCCGGTTCCCGGGAGAGGGGGAGGGGAGGCTCCGCAGAGCCGCTCGCGAGGACCCGCTGCCCGCCGCGACGCCCCGACGCCGGGCCCCCGAAGCCGCGTGCCTTGGGGGGAGTGAGCCTGCCCGCTCCCGCGCCCCGCTTTCACTACAGGGGCCGCGACCGCCACTAGTTTTCCCCATCCCCCACCCTAGTAGAGGGAAATGGCGCCGGGAGGCTGAGGGTGGGGAAAGCATTTACACAATCAAGTCTCTGCTGCCGATCCCTCTGAAAACACTTCCACTTCAACAACCGCCGCCACACGGGCGGCCCGGTCTCCTGTCGCTCTCCCGCGGAGGCGGCTGGCCGACTTCCACTGCGGCGCCAACGGCCTCGCCATGCCCTTTCCAATAACTCATTGATTTCAAACCCGTTACCTCCATCGCGGACTCAGTCGCTTCAGCCCGATTTCCCGCAGCCGAGCGAGATGAGAGAGATCTCCGCGGACGAACACGAACCGGACTCGTCCTGG